TATATATATATATATATATATATATATATATATATATATATATATATATATATATATATATATATATATATATATATATATATATATATATATATATATATATATCCAAACTCACATTTCCACTAAAGCCCATAAGGCCATTTATACAAGCCATAAAAAAATATATACCAAAAAATATGAGGCAAGAACTGATACGCTCCAAAATTGGTCAAATACAAGATTCTGTTACATCCTCTGCACTACATTTCAAACCCTCAAAATAACGTACACCAAATTAAGGCCTATTAATATTTTGCAGAACAAAAAAACAAACCTACACCAAACTCTGAAACCACTCTACAAAACCAAAATCAAATAACATTTCAGCCTGCCATAACATACTGCACTCTGCATCACCCGAAACTTGCTACTCATCCTGCTAAACTCCGAAACCTGCATCACAAACCTACACACTGCTACCAGCCTATTATAAGCTTGACCTGTAACGTATCGGTCCATAAAACTCCAAATAACCAAAATTCATAAAATAAAATAAATCTAGACCTTACGAGAAAAATTATTAGTGAATGTCACAAAGTAACTAAAGCCTCCAATAAATGGCTCTTTTGAAGGCCCTCGGGCATCAGAATGAACATAATCTAAGATTCCCTTAGTCTTTTGTTGCCTTGTCTTGAAACGAACTTACATTGTTTCCCAAGAACACAATACTTGCACAATCTAATTGTGAAACTATGAACACCCATCAACAAATTCCTCTTATGTAGTTTCATCATGTAACACCCTTCTACCCCAAAGAACAATTCACGATAATTATAAATAATTATATCAGAGTACATCACCACAAGGGTGCCATATTTCATCAAAACATCCAAGTAACATTCTGCTCTGTAACACGGGTTGTATCATCAATAAAGTTTCAAAACAAATAGAACTACATTGTAGCAGAACTATCATAATCTCAAAAAAATCGTCAAGATAGACAAATTCATAATGACGTCAAGTCTGTAAAACCAATATGAAAATTCAAATCAATATCGTCCCGACCCGATGTTACATATCAGAGCAAGACACCTTCTAAGTTCAACGCAATAAAACTAAACACTCCAAAAGCTAAACCTTCATGCACCAAGGGCTAATCCTGATCACCTACACGTTATCCACGTGGAGGCAACATTCAAACAGGCAGGGTGAGTAATCACAAATCATTATACAAGACATAAAGATAAGATATATCAAGATAACACTCGTCATACAAAACAACATCATCATGAAATCCATGCATTATCATTTGCCACATATTATACTCACACCTTCATATCATAGTATCATATATACATATTAGTTCATAAAGTCATCAAATTAACAACTCATCACCAAAACATCAATTAAATCACAACATCATCACACGTTATTTGAAAATCACCTCATTAATAATAACAGTAATTCACATAGATGCAATACCACATAACATGAAATGCAACAACATACATAGACTCATGCATGTGGTACCAAATCAACATGTTGATGGACACTGAGCCATCACCCTTCAAAGATCCCCACTAATAGGATCAATTCCACACAAGAACTGGAGCATAACATAAACACCTCAATCCACACGATAGGATTGAAGCCAACACTAGACCGAAGTCCTATCATCAATATTGGAGCGATGTCCTATCATCAACATTGGACCGAAGTCCTAATATGATATGAATGCATGATGCAGAATGTCATAATCATCATCGTCACAAGATCATCAAGGTTGCATCATCATTCATAAAAAATTCATCAAAAACATCATGGATTACGTCATTATCATGCATCAAAATTCTTCATATCCCCTCACAAATCATCATGTTATAATCATCAAAATACAACACATGAATTACTCAATGTATACGGACAATAAGACACAAGGTAGCACAAAAGAAAGAAAAAAAACACAGATTCTGCTCGCCTGGTGTTCGCCCGGCGAAGCAACTTGCTCGCCCGGGTTTCGCCCGACGAATCAGGGGTGAAATCCATTCCCCATAGGAAAAACCAGGAGCACTCACTTTTCACCCTTTTCTCGCCTCTACTTTCTCCTAACGAGGTTGGGGCGAAATTGCTTCGCCCAACGAAACGAGAAGTTTGCCCGACAAAATTACGCGAACCTGCAACTTCTCTGTTGCGATCCTGCAGCAGTTCATACCCGATTCTCCTTGCGATTCTAGTATCAATCAATCCAAAATTACTCATAATTCACAATACAATCAACATAATAACAACAACACATTATAATAGGTTTCAGACATACCAATCTCATACGACTCAAAACCCCAATTTCATCATAATCTCGTCATGTTTCTCCAAACTCCCCAACTACCTACATACATCTACCCTTATATCAATTATAATGACAAATGACACTCCCCATACCTTAGAGAATTCGATTCTGATCCTCCTCTTGAGTTCTTCCGAAATTGCTCTGAGCCCTAGCCTCTTCTTCTACTTTTCCTCAGAGTCGCTCTCCAAAACACGATTGTTCGGAATGAATTCCTCACTTTCCTATTTTACTTTATGTCACTCTTACCCCTAGGACCCTTAATATGATTTTCCAACTGTATCCTCACTTATTTCACCCAACTTTACCATCTTGCCCTTAGTGTTCCAATTATTTATTTACAATAATAATAATAATAATAAGATATTCACATTATCCACGATTATTATTATCAAAATAATTCTAATAAATCATATACTTCTAAATATCCTCAATACCCTCTTAGCATCAACAATGCCTCCCAACACAAAACACAGGACATCAAAATATTTCACCAAGATTCACCGAAATCACGAATATTTATAATAAATAAATTAAATAAATATTCTAATTATTTTGGGGCGTTACACATCGTCCCACATTCACTGAGATAACCCAAGCGCATGTGACACAATTTGGTTACATTATTATCAGTTTCAACAGATGTTACATCACCCATAACTATGCTCCCTAACAAATTTTAAATATTGCCTGTAGCCCTCCATATAGTTGCATGTCTCTAATACATTCATGGGGAGCACCTTAATACGATTATTTTGTTTCTTGTCTTATCACTTTCATATTTAATTTACTTTCGATTATTAAGTCTCCTTCATGATTTCATGTCTCTGAATCATGTTTTGAAATGATTCATTTTTAGCATGTATAAACCATTGGTTATATTTGAACTTGATCTTGATGCTTTTAATCAATTGCATGAGTCAGTGGAATAAGAGCCATCTATGATATTGATTCAAGTTATATGGAAAGAAAAATCTCAAAGTCTCTTTAAAATTTTGAAAAATTGGGATTTTGGATGTTTGATTCGAATCAAGCACATATCCTGATTCGAATCATTTTAGACAGTTGGAAACCAAAAAATTTCAAAATAATTTGATTCGAATAACATTTTACACATTATTCAAATCATGAAAGTCTAGGTCACTTATGCCTCAATTGATTCGAATCACACTTTACATATGATTTGAATCATACAATTTTTCCACATTTTCTCAATTAGCTCAGCCTGGTTGATTCAAATTAAATTATTTCGAAAATGCATCTTCAGAATAAGAGAATAGGATGGTACCGAAGATGCATATCTGAAACTTTCACTGATACTAGATAAAATTATTATGGTCCATATTTATCTTCAACTACTATAAATATAAGCTTTTGTATCATGTCTCATACAAACAGAAAATATCACAAATGAACATCATTTGTTTTGTCGCAAATCTCTCTTTTCTAGTGCGACACTCGGGCAAGAATTTAATATTAATGAGTACACCCCTTTTATAGATTTGCAATACGAAGTGCAAAATTTTCTACCTTACGGAGATAATCGAAAAATTGTGAAGCTTGAGTACCGTTCACCGTCAACGAAGACAAGATTATGTTCAACAACTGTGAGCTCAAGATGGATACATATGTAAGGACTATGTGGAATACATTTTCCCGTTTCGAAACAAAAGTTCCGATTGAGCTGGAAGCTACGATTTTTAGATCGGTCGAAGATAATTTGAAAATGTTGAAGCGTCCACTTGGCTATTTAAATGTGATATTTGATTTTATGTTAACATCTCATATGTAATGCTGATTTTATGTTATGAATGATAATTTTATTTTGTCAAAATACAATTTTCTGATTTTCTACTTCTGCTTCTGTTTCAATATGCTACAAAGATGCATTTACAAATAGGTTACCGATATACAACTCCAAAATCTAAAGATATTTTTATATTTTTATTTAATACTCTAGTAATATATAGGGTGCATTATAAAATTCTAAATGATAAAATAGAATTCTAATCCAAGGCCCAATCAACCTCCTTTAGAAGAGGCCCATTCTCATTCACAAAGAAAAACAAAATAAATAATTTTAACAATTAATCAAAACATTGAATAAAAAAACAATTAATTAAAACCTAAAACAACGAAACTCAGCTCCATCAAACGAACTCTTGTAAGTTGTATATGTTTGTATCCCAAACAAGTTCGAACAGATTCACTGAACTCAACCGCCGGAAACTGTTTCGTTAGTTCGTCGCCGGCCACCACAAAGAGTGATAAACTTGTCCAGGTTTTCCTTCTTTCATTGATTTTTTAATAATTTTCTCGGACGCGTACAATTTGCGGCTGCAATACCCTCCCCCAAAGGAGAATTGCTTCGCCGCAGATTCCCCGATTAGGCGCTAAATTGGCGCCATTCACAGCATAAAGTGTGAATAGTTACTGATTTTGATGTATCTGGGTTACATGTGGTAGCTAAAACTTTCAGTCGTAGTTTAGGCTTCCAATTTTTTGAATTATTAGGTAGAACTTCTTATATGATTATCAAAATGGGGTTTAGGGTTTAGTTGATTTTTCCTTTATTTGTTCATTGAGTTTTCATGAAACCTGTTGTTTTCCTTGATATAATGTACTGACTTTATTTTTTATTCTAGTTTGTCTTTTCTCAGATTATGCTAAATCCCTAATGATGTCTTCTAGGAAAGCCTCGGTAGTTACAGCTAGTTCTCTTTTGAGGTTCTGCAATGGCTGTTATATGTCAAGGACTATCTGCACTGCTGCTGAAAGGTGGGATTCTCAGTTTTCGAGTGGTTTTAAAACGGATGTATCTTCGGGTTACCAGCATAACCAAGCTGGGTTCTATCAGCAAAATACAAGTGGATCTTATCGGAATAATCATGCTAGTTCAGAGCAAAGTTCTTATGGAGCTGGTCGAACTGCAGGTAGAGGTCAGGTAAACATCACTCGGAATGTAGTTCCAAATAATTTGGCAGAGCATAACGGAGGTGTCGATGGGGACTTTGTTCAAAGCAACATGAAAATGCAACATGACGTTGGGGTAGGTGTTGATAATTCAAGGGGTTTTAGGATGCATCCTAATACTTTTGAGAAACATAACTGGACATCAGAATCCGTAGAAAAGGTGGAGTATTCCAATGCATGTAGTTTTCCTAGGCCTTTAGAGTATCAGGGACATCCAAAAGGGAACGTTACCCAAAACATTGGTCATTTTCAGCCGACACGAAATGACTACTACACGAGTAATGAAAGGGGTCAACAGAACGTTACCCAAAACATTGGTCATTTTCAGCAGACACCAAATGACTACTACACAAGGAGTAATCAAATGGGTCAACAGTACTCCGCTTATGGACAGTCTCAGCAGAGTGTAGGCGGCCAATATCCTCCAAATTTGAATTCAGCACAGAAATCAACGGTTGGATCTCATCTATCGAGTAATCCAAAACCTGATGGTGAGTCAGTTGATGCATCTAATAATAGTCCATATAGAGGTACACTTGAGGAACTGGATAGTTTTTGCATGGAGGGTAAAGTGAAGGAAGCAGTTGACGTTTTGCAAATGTTGGAAAAGCTTCATATTCATGTGGATTTGCATCGATGTTTGCAATTAATGCACCAATGTAGGAAGGCTAGGTCTCTTGAGGAGGCAAAAGTTGTACACAGACATGCGTTGCAACATTTGTCACCTCTCAACGTCAGCACATGCAATGAAATATTGGAGATGTATTTTGAATGTGGTTCTGTAGATGATGCAGTCAAGGTGTTCAAGAACATGACTGAGTGCGATTTGACTACTTGGTATACTATGATAATGCAGCTTGCGAAGAATGGGTTTGCAGAAGATTCAATTGATATATTTACTCAATTTAAAAGCTTGGGACTAAAACCTGATGGCCAACTGTTTATTGGAGTTTTTGGTGCGTGCAGTATGCTTGGCGATATTAGTGAGGGAATGCTGCACTTTGAAACCATGAGTAGGGACTATGGCATTGTGCCAACTATGGCACATTATGTCAGTTTAGTAGACATGATTGGTAGTATTGGGCATCTTGGTGAAGCATTGGAGTTCATTGAAAAGATGCCAATGGAACCAAGTGTAGAGGTATGGGAGACTTTGATGAATTGTTGCCGAGTTCATGGAAACACAGAATTAGGGGATCGTTGTGCTGAACTAGTCGAGAAGTTGGATCCTTCTCGTTTGAATGAGAAATCAAAAGCTGGCCTTTTACTCGAAGAAACTTCAGACTCAATAAAAAACAAAGAGCAGAACAAATTAGCAAGCAAAAATCTTCTAGAAGTTCGGAGCCGAATCCATGAATATCGAGCAGGCGATACTTCCCATCCAGAAAATGACAAGATCTATGCTTTGCTTAGAGGTTTAAGGGTGCAAATGAAAGAAGCTGGCTATATTGCAGAGACGAAATATGTGTTGCATGACATAGACCAGGAAGGCAAAGAAGATGCTCTCCTTGCTCACAGTGAGAGACTTGCTGTTGCTTATGGTCTCCTCAACAGTTCTGCTCGTTCTCCCATTAGAGTAATTAAAAACCTCCGTGTTTGTGGTGATTGTCATACTGCTCTAAAGATTATTTCTGATCTTGTGGGAAGAGAACTCATCATCCGAGATGCTAAAAGGTTCCACCATTTTAAAAATGGCCTATGCTCCTGTCGGGATTATTGGTGAACATTAACCTAGGTACTGTCCAATCTTTGATAGCTAAATATATTCTAACTGAAGTTGTCTTGATTTTCCATAATTGTCTTTGACTAAAATATTTGAAGAAAAATTAACTATATTTTGAAATTTGTATATCAAAATTGTTAAGTTTCCTGTATAATAGTTTAGTTTAAATTCTTAAGTCAATGCAAAAGATACATGGTTTCACTTTTAGTAACATGCTCTTAGGAACAATATAATTTTACTGGAGTGTATGTCTTCTGATCATGATTACAAAACTCTGATGCTTTGATTAAAACAAATGATTGCATGACAGTTAAATCTACAATTTACGCTGCTAATAGTATGGTATATCCTTAATGATGCTTTATAAGATTGACTATAACAGGGTTTTAATTTTTACTTTCATGAGTTACAAGTTATGATGCGTAGGGTACTGAGTATAGGTCTTAAGAAACATGAAAGGTAATCCTAAATGACAAACTTAAAAGACTCTTAATTTATAAAACTGACTCTGGAGATAACATAAGATGCTAGAAATATAGACAAATATTATAGAATATTTTTCACATCATCTAACACTAGTCAAACTAAATCTTACCGAGCTTTGGGCTTGTTATAAATTTAATTCTTTGGAAATAAATAATTTGGCACTGTAGTACCGTAGAGTCAGGCTGCTTTCTCTAATTTTGGGGCCATGTTAGACGATGACAATGATCTAGAAGAAGGGTTGAATAGATCACTAATTTATTACACGAGTCGGCGCTTAAAATATGGTTTTAAAAATTTGTGCGGAAGCGGCAGATGAACCAAGTCGTTTAAACGAACCGTTACCGGAAAGATCAGATATGTGATAAGCCAAATGAAACAACGATTCTAATGAGACACCGAATCAATAGTTTGAAGATTAATCAATACGAATAACACACTTTAGAGTGTCCAATTTTTAATGACTTGTAAAATGTAAAGTTAAATTGACAATAAGGCAAACAGTTTGTATGCGATCAATTCGTCGAACACTTGGTGTGCAAAACACCCCAAATGTTGTTTCCTATGTAATGTGAGTGCAGAATTTTGACAATTACAATTCAAGTGATTGCAATGAGTTTTTAAATTAGGTTTTCAGTACTACACTACAGCAGAATTTTATCGATCAATTGATATTACACAAACGTTAACAATTCAATGTAAAGAGATAGAGAAAGAGAGAACAACACCGGATTTGTTTAGGTAGTTCTCCTTTCGTACTCGCTTAGGGTACGTCTGTCCCCAATTCTAAAACTAGAATGGAGATATGTATTATCTTGTTGCAAAAGTTTATACAAGAGAATCATTAGATACCACACACTCAAACCTAGTTATTGATGTTGATACTATGTCTTCTCTCCCCTTGATTCAAGATGAATCAAGTGCCTCAAACGTGTTGGACAAACCTCCGACTACCGCTACTTGTCTGAACAACCCCACCGGTCTTCAAACCTTTCACTTGGCTGATTTCAATCACACACCGTTCGAGCCCAAATCGTCCTTGTACAATCCTCCGGTTAACGCTACTTGATTGAACGAACCCTCCGTTCTTCAATCCCCTTCGCTCGGCTGAATCTCTGAAGACAAAATTTGTGCAAAAACCTCCAAATCCTCAAGATCTTGAAGGACAAAACCCTAACGGTTTTATTCAAGAAAAACCCACCAAAATCTCAACCCAAAACGAGAAACACAATCCTACGTTTGGACGTTATCATCTCAATGATGCAAAAGATCAACAAAAATTGTTATGTGTAGTTATTGAGAAAATGCAAGAATGAGGTTGAAGACGATGAGAACAATTTTGGTGTATATCTTTCACTTTTCTTGTTGATTGTCTTAAAATGATGAGACAAAATGAATATATATGATGCTATAACCAATAAACTAACATAACAGCAATTCGACACAAGACAGATCAGAAAAATGACATGATTTTAGCGAGCGGTCGACCTAAGCTTGCAGGGGGGTCGACATGAGCACACCCGAGAGCAAAACTATGCAAAAATTAAAGTTGTGTGTCGACCGGAACAGGGTCCATGCGTCGACGCAAACTTGCCAAAAATGGACAAAACACAAACACAAACAGTATGAGTCGACCGGAAAGTCGACGCGAGCACTCCTGAGAGCAAAAGATTGAAATCAACTTACATGAGTCGACCTAAGCAGGGCTTTGAGTCGACTCAAACACTCTAAACTTGCAAAATCGACTTTTTGCTCATAGTTTGGTTTTCCTAAGCTATATTTATGCATACCTAAGATTCCTAACATAATCAAAGACACACAAAACATATATGAGATGCTTATATATGTATTGACACATGATTTTGAAATATTTTGTGCATTAATAAGTTATGGATGTAAGCTAGGACTCGATGATACCGTCTAAATTACAAGGTATGAGCTAGGTACGTTTTGACATCATTAAAATAAGGACTGAGGCATTGTCCTCACAGGCCACTCTGATACTTTATCTTTAGCATTGCCATAAATCTAAGATAGCTGTAGGACTAGTTTGATTTCTGAAAATGTGAGGCCAGGCTGCATCTTTAATAGTTGTATTTTCAAGTTTCATTTGCGACAAGATCACTGGATGGATCATGGAAGATTTCAAAAGCTTATGGGCCAGGTGAGAGGAGTGAGAAACAACACCGAATGGAATGCTTCCCCCAACCGTTAAAGGAAAGCCTCGACGAAGGGAGGTAGATGCGGCAGGGAAGAAAAATGCTTTCGAAGGGTTGTTTGAGCAAGATGGTGTCTCATCAATCCGCCCCAAAGTTACCAAAGAAAGACAGGTACCAGGGAAGATCTGGTAGTGCACTGATAGGATACCTAGGTGGTGAGGTTGTGAACTGAGATGTGGTTGGACTTGCTGCCATGTGAGGCGTAGGTTGTAATGCATGGGAAAAGAAGTTCCCTGAAGAAACAACACACATGAGTGTGGTGGCTTGCCGATTTGGGATGAAATTTTAGGGGTGCGAAGTCAGCTCCCTGCAAGTCTGTTGACGACGGCTTTGATAAGAAAATTTGTTGGAAAAAATTCCAGTGATAGCAGCCGGTGGTGGAAACATGAGGGAGACTAAAATATAGCCTGAAAGATGACACAAAACGAGGAGTTTGAAAACTGGAGATGAGAAAGTTGAAAAAATTGGCTGAAATATGTGCACACTGGACAAAAAGAAATTATGTATAGAGATAATGATATTATAATATCATTTCCAGACTTCAGGGAACTCAGCAATGGAACAATGATGGAAGGGGTTAGAGGATGGTTCTGATATGATACTATGTTGAAGTTATAGGATTTTAGATAAAAATAACGAATTAGAAAGAAAATAAAGATATTGACCTCATAGTACTGATAATTATAATTAATTGAGAAACAAAATCACAAGAATAACTAATCCATATGAAAAGTAACCCTAAAAGAAAATCAAAGATACTTGATAGAAGAATCTTAAAAGATAATATAAGTTATACTGTATGATATTTTTCACATCATCTAACAGAGCAAAAGCCAAGGTAAATCCATCAAATAGAACAAAATGACAAGTATTACTCTTTTTTCTGAAGAATAGTTATATCGCAATGACAGACTTAATTGAGGGCATCAAAAGCTTTTTTTCAAGATTTGTTTGTTGCTACATAATTACAGAGGCAAATAATGTAGTTGAAACATGATGTTAATGTATTGTATAATACTATACTGCTTGTTTTCAAATTTGTATTTGGCATTGAGGTTTTTATTGACTGTGACAGCAATCTTGTTATGAAGGTGCATCCTGACTCCACGCTGGATTGAATAACGCGGCAGCCGTTGGCAACGACCCCTCGAACCTGCTCTTCATGCATCTCATTATTATTGAAATCAATCTCTATATCCATAAGGTGATTTACCAGAGTCTTATGCACAACATGGGTATATAAATCATCAAGCAGTGGGGTGTGCATTCAAGGAGTCAAAATTGTTATGAATGTTGGCATATAACAGAACTCACATTAATTTATTAGTGTTATAGTGAAACAAATCTTAAGAAACAATGATATGAATGTGTAAAACAATAATATCCACTATATTAAAGGTAAAACGTTATGAATGTGTTGTTACGACTAAATTAATTTTCCCTTCACTCTAACTATTTTGACATTCTCCCCAGATTCATGATATTTGTCCTCTTCAAGGTTCGCAATCCAGATTTTGGCTTAGTTACTTCTGAAAATTTTAAACCACATTCAACGATTTGGTTTCACCAAAATTCAAGAGCATGATACTGGGTAGTTTACTCATTCTCATGACATTGTTTCGCTAATCAGAATCGTATCATGTTTATTTTGAAATTTTAATAGTCAGAATCTCCAGAGGTCACGATGATGGAAATAAACGACAGCACACGGCCTTCATGGGTATCGCCCATTACATTATACATCAAGTAAAGGATGCTTCTAGCCATTAGCCAATTACCTTTCGAAAGCATAAATTGCCAACCATGGCTGTACTTATTGGGATCACACGGAGGAATAAGAAGACTCTACGTGAGTACATCAATCGATTCAAGAAAGTCGCAAGGCAGTGGGAGGTATAGATGACAAATTAAAATACTAGATTTTCAAAAATGGGTTGAGAAATTCCATGCTCTAGGAAAAGTCAGGGTTCGAAGGAGCTTGTAGTTTAAGTGATTTGCGAAATATGGCACAATCCTATATGAATTACGAAGAAGAGCTCTTAGCTAAAAAATGAAAAGAATGGCCAGAGAGCAGGGAACCACAAGTAAGACATGATGCTAGAGAAAGATAATAACTATCGTAGAGATGATGGGGACTGTGTACCCTGAACAAGATTCCCCGCCTACACTTATTTGACCACTTCAAAAGAGAAAACCTAGTGAGAGTGTGCTAACACCGACTTCAAGGAAGTCGAGGTCAAGAATCTTTATCTAGTGATGGAGTTATTCAAGACAAATAAGTTCAAACACTTTCGTTTT